AAATTTTTTAAAATGTTTTTGGTTTTTTTTTTTTTTTTTTTTTTTGCCAAAGAACCAATGAAATTGAAAAGCATAATGCTCCCAAATTAACAGCTAGTTTTAAGTAAAGAAGACACACTCTATTGGTTTAAAGAAAACATTCCAACTCTTTGTCATTTGTTCTGTGCTGCTTAAAATTACTTCCTAGCACAAAATCAGCCACTTTCGTTACCTTAGAACATAATAGGTTTACAATCATTTAAGGCCAGTTTCAAAGAAATCAGAACACTGATTCCAAGGAAACTTAAAAGATTCTATGCCATAAAAATCTAGGGAGATCCTTCAAAGCAATAATATAGTCCGGTAATAAATATACAAAGAGATATTTTAAACACATATTTTCCATCCAGTAGCTCAAAATGTGAGGGAAAAAAATAAAAACAAACACAAACACCTACACATTAATAATGCAAAATAGGACATTATTAGGGGGTAAAATAAATAGGTGGACAGGAAGTACACTTGGAGAATTGTGCAGAACTAAGCAGAAAAAATTGGGAAGGGCCTGATGGGCAGGAAAACCCAGACCAGTGTCCTGAATGATAAACACAATGTGGACAGGAAGGTAAAACAAGAAGGGGAAGAAAAATCTGACTACAGGTTTAGCTCTGTCCACGTGCGGGACCCACTCTCTCACTGCCTGTGAGGAAACCTCCTGGCTAGCCCAAAAAGAGTCCTGGGAGGCTAGTTCAGGAAGATTCATGAAAGCAAGATTCAAGAATCACTGTATGTCAGGTGAAAAATTGAGAATTAGATCCTCTCAGCATTGGGAAAAGGTGATAAGACTGTTTGGACACAAAGGTTATGCACAGAAGGTGATTTCATTAGAAAAATTCTGAAGATAGTTATGGGGGGCAAAACAATGTCCCCACCCCAGTCAGGCCCATGTCCTAATCCCTGAACTTATATGTTCTTTCATAAGCAAGAGGGACTTGGAAGATGTGATTAAGGACTTTGAGATGGGGAGATTATTCTGTAACATAGGGGTGGACTCCATCCAATCAGAACGATCTTCAAAAGGGAGAACTATCTTGATTGTGGTCAGAAAGAAAGGGAACCACAGAAAAATGATCAGGGAAATAAAACATTGCTGGCTTCGGAGATAGAGGAACGGACCCCTCACTAAGAAGCTAAGAAAAGTAAGGGCCAGATTCCCCTCTACAGCCTGCAGAAAAGAATGGCCAATACTTTAAGTTTTAGTCCAGTGAGACTCTGACCTACACAACTACAATATCGTTACTTAGTGTTGTTTTAAGACACTAAGACTGGAAACCTGTGACTGCAGCAACAGGAAAGGAATACAGCAAATGGTTAGAGGGAACACTGAGGAGAGAAAAGTCAGGTCAGGATTCATCATGTTAATCCATTCTTGACGATGAGGTAACTCCTAGGTTAAATCAGAGGCTAGGAAGTAGACAGGGGGAGTTGGGCACAGGAGCATCAATCCACAGGTCTCCTTCCAAAAAGCCCTGGCTTTGGGGGCCAGCAGGTGGCGTAGTGCAGGACTCCCATATGGCCAAACACAGTTAGAGTCCTAGACCTGGCAGCGAGAAAATCATGCCAGGTGCATGTGTGAGCGTGCCCAAGATTCCAAGAGGAGGTTGGAGGAGAAGGAACTGTGGTATGGCCACCTGCCTGGAGGGATGATTTCTCATTTTACCTCTCTCTGTCTCTTTCTCCAGCAAATGCATGCACCCTACAGCAAAAACCATAAAAAATAAATAAATAAATAAATAAATAATAATAAAAAAAAAGAAAAAAAAGAAAAAGGCCCTGGCTTTTCAGCGGCAATACCAATTTTCCAAAGACTAAGTGATCTGAAAACCTGTAAAGTAGTAACTCATTACAAATATAGTCCTTTGCACCAAACTGAATTCTATCAGTAAACCCAAGAATACTACTATCGCTATAGTTTTCTTTGAAGGTGGAGTATTGAGGAATTGCTTTACTGATGATTTTGAAATCTTTAGATATCTAAACAGCATATCAGTATTTTCCTTTTTAAACTTTTTAAAATTTCATCACTGTACATCATTTTTTAAAAATGTGTAAATTCAATCACTGTATGTCATAGCAGCTTGCAAAATTAATTCCCCAGCATGAATACAATGTATATTAGTCTAGTTAAAGTTGTTATCATATATATTATCATCAACAGGTAATTTTCCACTTTTGTGTCACTTACATGTTTTGCTTCTTTCTTTTTACCATTGATTCCCTTCTCTTTTTTTATACATTTCCTCTTTCACTTTCATCCTCTAAATTATTTGTCTTTTATAAACTTTAAAAAATTTTCCTCTAGAATCTAAATGGAACTCCATTAGAAAAGGCCAACTTATCATCAAATACCATGTGTAGGTCAACTAGGATGACGTATCCACATCTGGCCTGATGACAACAACAAGTAGGCCATCCCAAGACCATTTTCCTAATCTTTTAAAAACTAAAGATGATCTTATCATTTTTAATAAACATTCACTGAATGCTCAACTAGAAAAAAATGAATAAACCTCACTTGTATGATCCCATTGGTTATTGACTTATCTTTTCTAGTGGTTGAAGTTGTTCATTTGACATGGCTAAGAAAATTTATATTATAGCTAACGTAAGAGCAATGATCCCAAAGCATGTTTTGACATGTGCACTGTATGGAAGGCCAAGCTCTGCCTACTCACTGTCATGAATAAATATTTCTACTTGTAGTGATGAGCTTGTAAGTTAGACTCTTAGCATTGTAAGTTCTTTTTTGGAGAGGTTTTTGCTATAGTGCGCATGTGCTCGCCAGAAAGACAGAGAGAGACAGAAAGATAGAAAGTGAGAAATCACTCCCCCAGGAGGGATGGCCATGCCACAATCCCTTCTTCTCCATTCTCCTCTTGGGATCTTGGGCACACATGCACATGCACCCAGCATGAGTTTAAGCCACCGGATCCGGGACTCGAACCTCAGTCAACTACATGGGAGTCCAGCAACATAGCCATTACGCCACCTGCTGGTCACACATTGTAAGTTCTTCAATAGAAGTCTTATAGTACATTGGAGCTTCAGCGTAATGGAATTATAAATAGAAACAATTCATAATGTCAGAATCAGAGGGCCCAGCTGCTGTGGCACATTGCTAAGGTGCTGTGCACTGCAGGCTGGGACCACACTGGAGACCCAGGTTTGATTCCCAGCCCAACCAAGAGGCCAGGCATGGTGGTGTGCACCTATAATCTCAGTGACTGAAGGAAGTTAGGGCAGGAGGATCATGAGCTCAAGGATGGCCTAGGCAACACTATCAGACCCCGTCTAAGAAAGAGCCAGGCATGGTAGCTCAAGCCTGCAGTCTCAGTTACTTGGGAAACCGAGGCAGGAAGGTTACAACACAACAAGACCCTGTCTTAAAAAGAAAACAAAAATAAACAAGAAGAGGTCACTTTTTTTTTCTGAAGTTGAAATCAAATCTGAATTCTATACATTCTGATTCCTTTCCAAGAAAGAGGGATAATGCTAGTTAGCTAGTGACTCTGGAGCTTGACTGCCTGGGTTTGAATCCCAGCCTTGCTAGGTTTGTAAGCTTGGGTTCCTAAGACAGTCTGCGCCTCAGTTTACTGCTCCAAAAGAATGAGAACAGCAATAATAGCATCCTCATAGAGCCATTGTGAGGCATAAATGAGTTAATATGTGTAAATTTCTTTCAATAATGTATGAATGGTAAATAATGTTTGCTGTAATTAATGTCATAGTCTCTCTTTTTTTATTAAAGCAACTAAAGAAAGAGTAGATTGAATTTTTTTTTTAATGTAACCACACTAAGAATGAACTGAGGGCATCTTGAAGAGTTGAAGGCATTGAGGTGAGAGCTTGAAAAGAAAATGAGGTAGAAGAAGAACCCTAAAGCAATCAAGTTTCCTCTCTGTGATCCAGTAGCACAAGCAGAGACGAGAAATGACATCTAACAAATAAACAGGACGACTTCCAGTAACGTGTGCTATATTCCTTTTGAAAGCTCATGATTTGTACTTGTTGTTCCAGCCCTAAAGGCACAGTGAGTCTAGCAAAGTTTCAGGGGTTTTTTAAGTCATTCTCTACTCAAGCAGTCAACAAGCGATACACCTTGTAAAGTGGTTTATCACATCTAGGAGCAAGGAAAGTGCCTCTCACTCTCACCGGAAGCAAACTTCACTGGGTCGCTTAGTGCACACCTTGACCAACGGAGAATTGATGGGAGCATTTTAAAGTATAACTTCATGAGGGCTGACAGTGACACAGCAGTAACATAAGATGCTCTGTGAGGCTGACCCACACTGGGAAGGTTCCGGGTTCAAATCTAGAGCCATTCCTGCATATACTGGGCACACATATGCCCATGATCTAGGGCTGGCTGATGCTGGAGGTCGGTGTCAGGACCTATTAGAGGTGCTGTCTATCTTCCTCCCTGTGTCTCCCATCTCTTTCATTCATAGAAGAAATAAATAAACTTAAAAAAACAAAGAAGTATAATTTAATTAGCTCTTCTACCTTAGCTACAAAGCTGTATTACCAATGTATGATCTAGAAAAAACACATGACATTCTGAAAATAAATAAATATAAAAGCCAGTCAGTAGACAAGGAGTCCTGGAGAGTGCTCAATTCTCTAATATATACAATCTTAAAACTAGTCTAAGGCTTTGCTCAAATCTCAGCTAGCTACCCGTAGTCTCCTTAAGACTTCATCATATAAAGCAGTAGTGACCCACGGTTAGCAGGGCTTCGGCCTTGGTAACTGGCACTGGTCTGCAAAAGTGAGAGGACACTAGGTGGCAGAACACTCCATGACGCATCAAGAAAAGGCTTCCTATCTAGCCCACTCGGAACGAGGAAGTGTAAGTATTCTAATTGGCAGCTATGAATGGGTGGGGACCTAGCAGAATGGACAGATCAGGTTCATCTCAGATACACTGAATAATCTTGATTTGTCTAAGAGCTGCCTCTCAGCACTCATCAACCATTCATTTTTCTAACTGCCATGAAACTCTCCTTCACCCTCACCCAAACACCCAATCTCTGCACCCCCTGTACTGCATCTAGAGCCCTATCTTCCAGAACCCCGACATCCTTAAGTTCTCCCCTCATTCAGGAGGTGAAGCTCTCTGCCTGTTCTTCTCTGTACACACCTTCTCTGAAGATATCCACCAACAGGGGACTTCAAGAAAGACTCACATCCCTTGGCATCTTAAGGTAATATGACTGGATATATCCAGGACCTGGTTATATTTCTGAATCTTTATTCTTCTTATACCATGTTTTTTTGTTTGTTTGTTTGGTTGGTTGGTTGGGTTTTTTTTGGAGAGGTTTTTCACTTGGGCACGTGCACTCGCCAGACAGACAGAGAGAGACATAGAGACAGAAAGCGAGAAATCACCCCCCAGGGGGGATGGTCACGCCGCAATCCCTTCTCCTCCATTCTCCTCTCGGGATCTTGGGCACACACGCACGAGCGCCCGGCGTGAGTTTTAAGCCACCGGGTCCGGGACGTGAACCACGGTCGACTACATGGGAGTCCAGCGACATAGCCATTACATTAACTGCTGGTTCCCATTCTTAAACCATGTTTAAAAACAGTACTCATAAAACATATTATTTGGCTAATCACCTTTTGCCCTTCCCCCAAGCAAGTCCACCAACCTCTCAGTCACTGCCCCTCACTCACTAACAACGTGCAATTGGCTTCTGGTATTCCTCTTGGCCCCAGCCTTGCCACTATCTTATCTTCAAAATCACAGCACTGGTCTACACATGCCTTAGTCTCTCAGTTCCTTACTCCAATATTGCATGTCCCTCAGCAGTTATAGCTTTAGCTTCCTACTACCATGGTTCACTCCCAGGTTTCACCACTCTCAGTCCTCCACCCCAGAAATTCAAAGACAAGGCTCTTACACACTGATCAGCTAATCATCCAGCAACTCCAATATCCCTCTTCAACCTCAATGAGTTGAACCCTTTGCTCCTATTTCCCTTCCCTGTCGTCATCGCATTAACTAGCTGGTGTGGCCACTGGAGTCTATCATAACATCTTTTCTAATACTGAACTTTCTCTTTCTACTAGCATTTGACCTCAAAGAGGGGATCAATACATGTCTCCATTCTCCAACTCTAAATCGCAAATGTGCTTCTGCCCAGGAATCACTCTTAGCTAACTGGCACCCCCAAACCTGGGTTGGATACCCTTCAATACACACCCATAGCACTTTGAAATAACACCTTCTACAACAGTTGTCTCTCTACTTTGAAATTCTGTCTTATCTCTTAGTCTACCTAGTTCCTTGTGGATAAGACTGGGCCTTTCGTATCCGTACGGCCTAACATAAGATTTAGAGCTTAGTGTTTACTAAAATTTTTAAATTAAAGAATATAGGCAAATGTGTACTCTATGAGTTATACAAAGGACAGATAAGCTGAAAAGTCAATTCTTACTGACAGCTACCTTTAGAAAAATAAAATGCCACATGATATCAAAGAAATGTAAAAGAGGACACATTAGGACACTGGTTTAGATCAAATTTCAAAAGCTGTTTGGCAAATATGTCATAATATAAATGTGGGCTATAAATTCATAAACAAGAATTTTTAAAAAATCAACAGAGAAAATAGCAAAATCATTTTAATTTACTATGTTTTCTTTGCTATATAAAGAATAAACCTTAGTTCAAAAATAATTATTTTTAAATTGTCTAGAATTAAGTTAATTATCATAATTTACTCTAAAATTCTAACTTTTAAAAAAGTGAAGAGATAAATTTTTAAAAAGTTGGAACTAATCTTCCCTTAAGTCCAGAAACAAAATAAGTTAGAACTGATTCTCTTCCTCAATTTATAAAGCAATGGCAATTTATATTTAAAGCAAGAGATAACAAATATCTGGTAACAAAAATCCAAAAGAAACTACCTAAAGAACTTAAAGAAAGGCACTTCCTTTCCAAATTTATGTTCATACACAAACTTGAGCTCCCTAATGCAACATCTACATTCTTCTCCCTCTACTCAGTGAAAACAGAAAAAAATAAATAAATAAATAAAGGAAAATGAGGAGAAAAGAGAAAAAAAACTAAAATCAGTATTGTTTTTCAGGACAGAAATATTTTACCTGCATGAGTTTGGTGTCGTGTCCAGTGTAAACAACTATGCCAAAGATCCACTGAGTATTTCTAAGCTGTGTACCTCTTAGCAAGACCTGGTCAGGCCCAAGGGAAACAGGGCTAAAAATAAGAAACAATATTTATATTTAATGACAGTCTGAAAAATGAACCTGAGTTTTCCCCTTAAACATAAACTCACAATACATCAAATGTTTCCTTTAGCTACATCTGAACTATTTCATTGATAAACAGGAGCAATAAAGGTTACCCTTGGCTTCATCTACCAAAAAGAGACCCATGAAAAAGATTTATTTTATCCATTCATCATTACAGAAAAAATAGTTTAATTTCTTTCTTACTAAACATTAGAGGCAATTAATGTCTTTTATAATCCTGTTATGAAACTTAAAACCCAGAGAGGAAACTGCTAAAATAACAACAAGAAGCTTATTCACTTGGGAAACAGTTTATTTTACAGACTATTATAAGAAAAAAAAAAAAACAAGAAAAAAGAAGCAATAAATCTATCTTATCAAATTTGTCAAGAATGACATAAAGATAAAATGTAGACCTAAATGATAATTTAGAGATTCAAAATGGGGAGTCTATGGAATGGCTGTGAATGCTAAATTAAAACCAAGAAGCAGCCACATATTCAGTTGCCACATTTATGTTGGGCTGATAGCCACGATCTGGTTCTCCCAAGCCTTGGGTCTATTCAAAATATAAATGATGGTCCAATAGGCTGTGGGAGGCCTTGGCAAGAGGCAGGCAGACAAAAGATGGGCAGAAGAGAAAGAAACGCCATGCCAACATCAGTACAAAGAAGGACTCTGACCAATAAACACCACGAGGACAAAGACAACGGAATATAGACGGCAGGATACTGACTATTCTACAGGAAGATAACTCTTCATTTCATTCAGCTTTCTAGAAACAAATGCAACTTGGAAGAATACTAACCAAAAAACATGTGTACATTCCTCTAACAAGCATATTAGCTTTTATACACCTCAGATATCTACCTTCTGCTTTCTTGGACAATTTAATAGTTCAAACCATTTCTCCTGCTTGGTAGGCAATAGGCACAGAGAAAACAGGTCACATGCTACGGCCTTCATCCAGGAGACTCAAGCTCTTTTCCTGTCAAAATAAGTTCCCTTCCTTAAATGGAAGGGAAGTTTTAAATAGATGGAAATGGTGTTTTGAGAAAAACTCAATTTCATATAGCTAAGCTAAACATATAGAGATTGCACTGTTTTAAAATATTGTGAAATTAGGAAACAAACAAGGCACCAATGATTCTTAGATTAAAAAACAAAAAACTAAGAAAAAGAAAAGTGATACCTTTTCCCATCCAAGTTCAGGTTTCCGGTGAAGTCATAGAGGTGACGATTGGGCCCTTCACATTCTATGGTTCCAGATAACTTCATCAATACTTCCCGTGTTTGCATGTCAGCGGTGTGACTCAAACCCTAAAATGTTAAACCAAAGAGGAAATTCAACACAATCTTCCATGTTTAAGAGACCACACTGAGCATCCTGCCAACTATATGGAAATAGTAATAAGCCATCTACAATGCAATAATTTGGGAGAGCTAAAAAAAAAAAAATCAAACTATCAACTTGCAATAAAACTTTACCAGCAGTTTTTGTGACAATAATGTGATGTAAAAGTGGTAAAAGAGTTCAATGAAGCAGAAAGTGAAGATTCCACCACTGGAGACATCCATGTTTAAGTAATAATTAACATACTTAAGCACCTCACAAAAAGCACGACTTTTTTTTTTTTTTTTTCTTTTGGAGAGGTTTTTGCTATATGGCACCTGTACTTACTGGAGAAATAGAGAGGCAGAAAGTGAGAAATCACCTCCTAAGGGGATGGCCACACTACAGTCCCTTCTCCTCCATTCTCCTCTCAGGATTTGGGGCACATGTGCGCACACTCCCAGTGTGAGTTTCAAGCCGCAGTGTTGGGGACTCAAACCATCGCCAACTACATGAGAGTTCATTGATGAAACCATTATACCACCTGCTGGCCCCTAAAGCATGATCTATCCTTTAACACTAGTCATAAAAACAGAATTAAAGTATCTCTTTACTATTTTATGCTATTTCATACTCATTAACTCTCTCTGAACAGAAAAAAAAAAAAGTCCCAAAGCAAGTGTCAACTAATAGAAAAGAAAGATATGTAGACAGATTTATTGAATTCAACTTTATCCAGCAGAAAAATTTTATGTGTCAAAATGCTTAAAATGATCATCTATTAAAGATTAGTCTTCATCCTAAAGTCAAAATATATAGTAAGAATAGCTTGGAGCCAGCAAAGTGGCATGGTGGTTAAGGTGCTAGATTCCCACATGGCCAACCATGGTTCAAGTCCAGGACCCAGTGACTTGAGAATCATACAGGGTGAATGTGAGTGGACACTTAAAAATCCTGAGAGGAGAATAGGAGAAACTCTTCTCCTCTTGGGAGAAGAGACTGGTGCGGTCATGCCACTCATGGGTGATTCCTCACTTTCTCGCTCTCTCTGTCTCTCCCCAGTGAGAATGTGTGTCCTATGGCAAAAACCTAGATAAATAAATAAAAGAAAGAGAACAGCTTTACTTAAAGCAGAGCACATTTGTAGAATTAGAATCTCAACCATAATGACGTGTTTAGCACCTGGTCAGTCCCACTAAGGAGGGGCCCTCTCTTCAGCATCACGAGGCAGGCACTCAGTAAGATGCAGGTGAAGGCATGAGATCCATCTTGCCCTATTGTTTGGTGAAGCCCACTTCTCTTAGGTCCCCTGTCACTCTCAATGAGTTCTTTCAAAATAAAAGGCATATTCTTCCCATAGAGTCCATTAGTGTTAGGGCATAGTTTTTGTGGCTGAATCTTTTTTCCTCTAGAAAAGATACTGGCTAGGACATGAAGGGATCATGGTGACAGTTTGGGCCTGTAACCACACAAGCCATAAAAGGTGACTTTAGGGCCAACCTGTGACATGGTGGCTAAAGTGCATGCATCCACTAGGCCAAATTTATAGTTTGAAACATGGACCTAGTGACGTAAAAAATACACTGGAGAGACCAGCAGTTAGCATAATGGCTATGTCGCTGGACTCCCATGTAGTCGACCACGGTTCAGGTCCCGGACCTGGTGGCTTAAACTCACGCCAGGCACGTATGCGTGCATGCCCAAGATCCTGAGAAGAGAAGGGAGGAGAAGGGATTGCAGTGTGGCCATCCCCCCTGGGGGGTGAGTTTTCACTTTCTAGCTCTCTTTCTCTCTCTGTCTTTCTGGTGAGCGCACACGCCCTATAGCAAAAACCTCTCAAAAAAAAAAAAAACACTGGACACATGTGGGCACATGCCAAAAATCCCAAAAGGAGAAATGGAGGAGAAGAGATTATGGTGTGACCATTCTCTGGGGGTGGGGGTGGATGGGGTGGAGGATGTTTTTTCACTCCCCCTCTTTCTATGTCTCTCTTTGGTGAGTACACACACCCTCTGGCAAAATTAGAAAAAAAAAAATGACTTTACCTGACGTATTTTGAGGTTTGTCTCCCCATCTAGATTAGCTGTTTCAACATAACACATTGCCTGAGGTTCACTAAGGAGAGAAAAGAAGGAGAAAAGAGGCCGAGTTTAGGAAGGTCCTCGCCACACATTCACAGCTCACCAAGTCTCTATTATGAAAACTATGTCTGCTGACAAGCACTGCAAACTGCATGGTTATAAACCACACTTTAGTAATAGTAATTCATGAAAAATGGAGACATTCACTCATCTTTGGGGCTCAGCACCAATACAGAGTGGTATGTCCAGATGATGTGTCCTGATAGCCCCCCCCATACTGACTGCTTAGCCTCTAGGAGACGGAAGTGACTGAGGGCGAACAAGAAGGAAAGGGGCATGTTATCTGAAACATGAGATCTCCCAGCTAAAACCTAACTGCTGGGCTCGGGGTGAGGGATCCTTAGGGCCTGAGGTGGGGCCTACTTCTGACCTAAGCATGGCCAGCACGCACATATCATTTGGACAGAATTATGCCCAGAGGAGTTGAAGGATTGTTTCCCTGCATTTTTTATAGCATCAAAAGGCAGCTTTTTGTGCATGCCCAAGATTCCAGGAGGAGAATGGATAAAGAAGGGATTGCAACATGGCCATCTCCCCTAGGGGGTGATTTCTCACTTTCTCTTTCACTATCTCTGTCTCTCTCTCCCTCCAGCGAACGCATGCACCCTCTGGCAGAAACGTCTAAAAAAATTTTTTTAAGGCAGATTTTTAATTAAAACACATAATTATAAGAATAGAAAGCCCAAAAAATAAAATAAGGCCCTGCCATAGGAGGACACACTTGACACTATTGCTAGGCAGGTGAGGCCACTGGGAGGCCCGGAGAGATTTCCAGCCCACCCTGAAACACTGGGTGTTTGGCATAATCTGTAGTCCCAGCTACTTGGGAGGCTGAGTAAGGCAGGTGGCAACACGGCAAGACCCTATCTAAAACACCACACACACACACACTCACACACACACACACACACACACACACGCACACACCCTCAGAGGTTAAAAAAAAGTACAGTATCATGTTGTCAGGAAGTCATGATACATTTTTGCATAGAAAAATAAGTATCTAGATACTAATCTAATAGTTTATGATACTCCTACTTCTAACCTTTGGGTTTAGGCTAGATAGCACAGTTAGCAGCTGAGGGAATAGATCCTGCAACCCAATGACTAATGTAGACTCCTTCGGGGCCACCTTTGTGAGCCACGTGGCTTTGGCAAGTTATTTCATCTCTCGCAGTGTGACTGCCTCAGCTTTCTCACATATAAAGCAAGGACGTCAAGAGTTACTGTGAAGGGACCAGCAGTTAGCGTAATGGCTATGTTACTAGATTCCCATGTAGTAGACCGCGATTCGCGTCCCGGACCCAGTGGCTTAAAATTCACAACCAGGTGCGTGTGCTTGCATGCCCAAGATCCAGAGAGGAGAATGGAGGAGAAGGGATTACAGCGTGGCCATCCCCCCTGGGGGGTGATTTCTCGCTTTCTATCTCTCTGTCTCTCTCTGTCTGAGAAGACTAAACGATACTCCCAGCGGGCTGCTCCCCACACGGAATGCATTCACACGCCAACAGATGCCAACCTGAAGGCACGATGTCAGCTCAGTAGACAATAAAACCAAGCTTTCCCAGGGTCGCAGCCAAGGTTCATAGTTCCAACTATCAAGTGCTCAATACTTTTAATATTCCTAAGAGTTTGTTACCATTCAGCAGGGGCAAACATGGATGCTGCTCATGTTCATGGTATTTTTACCCCTCCATAGGCCTGGTGCCCTATTTTTAAACCTTTTATCTCACAGAGAAAATTATGCTAAGGCTTGAAATCTAATGAGTGATCAAATCCGATACAAGAAACACTGTCTGTAATCAAAGAAAACGCAAACAGCCTGAATATCTATGATTCCCAACAGCACATAAAAACAGGAAGTTACAGTCTTAGCATCATGTAATTTAATCTTGAACTCAAAAATAGAAGTTTATTCCTATCCTAATTTTGGCTTTCCTTTTTTAATGCATGATTTTATGTATCAAGCCAAGGAAAAGGCAAGAGCCATGTTGTGCCTTAGGGACACCACTGAGTGAGGGGACCTTTCTCGCACAAAACTGCCTAGAAAACATGGCAATGCTACCTGGGCAGAACAGGGGCAAAACGGGGAGGAAGCAAAAGCCAACACCATCTACAGGGCATGTCTATGCTGAGCAGGGCTCGTGGTTCTTTGAGAGTTGTGAAAGGACAGCCTTGGTTTCTGCAGGACAGACGGTGGCTAGACTATCAGGAAACAGGTCTGAAGTCTCAGATATGGAGCACCTGGATGTTACTGGACACACCAATCCTTTGCTCTTGACTCAGTGCCCTGTAAATGTAGACTAGCCCGGATTAGCCAGGAGACTAAAGGGAGTCAATAGATATAAAAGAATTTAAACAAAATACAGAGGAGTGAAGGAGACAAAGAAAACTAGGGGTAGCCAGGGCAGGGGAAGATAAATGACAGGTATTGGAAAAACGGGAGCGTGAGAGAAGGATGGGAAGCCAGAGGGTGGGAGGAAAAATAGGGGTGGAGATTTCTGCAGACGCCATTTAATATCTGATTGTTCTTCACATCGATTTAAGAAACGGTGCCCAGGAGCACCCCTGACCTGGTGGAGAGCAGGACCATGTCTGCCGGGAGATACTGCCCATTGACGACCTTCACGACATCACCCACTGCCACCTGGAGAGCCGGGACAAGGACAGAGGAGCATCAGAGATGATCAAGGGGTTACATGTCAGAACAGAAAATAACTACATAATTAAACCATGAAGTTTAAGACAAAGAAACCCAAATCATTTTCTTCAACAATAACAAAAGGAAAATTGCTTCCAAACAGATAACAGATACTATTCCCATTTTTACAATGATGTTTAATGAAAAAGAAACAATGAAAGAAAGAGGGAGAAGAAGAATGAGTCAGATGTTAAAGATCTCATTTTCTGCCAAGGGCCCACTCCTTTACAAACACGTAGACATTTCCATAGCTGCACACAGTAGGGCAGAGTGGCTGCACACAGTAGGGCAGGGTGGCTGTGCACAGCTCCAGAGCCAGGCTGATGCCAGGCTTGGACGTCCCTGTACTGCAGGACAGCCCTGTACCCATGGGAGGATGAGAAAAACTGTGCCTAAGTTTTCTCATCTATATTTCATGGGGTTACTGTAAGGATCAATGAGTTGACTCATATAAAATTTTCTCTGTTTTATAATTGGAGAAACTGAGGCTCCAAGTGAAATAAATACCTTGATTAAGGTCACATAGTCAATGAGTGTTAGAATCACAATTCACGACTGGACAATCTGACTTCTCTGACTAAAAAAAGTAATACTAAGGACAGTCAGTGGTATGGTAGTTAAGGCGACTGGATCCAATATGGCTGACTGCCCAGTTCAAGTCCCAGACCCAGTGACTTGAGAAACATTCCAGACGTGTGTGTGTGTGTGTTTGGGGGGGAGGGGGGGTCCAAAATCCTGAGAGGAGAATAGAAGAGAAGGAATGATTGTGTGGCTATCCTCCCTAGGAGGTTCTTTCTCACTTTCTCTCTCTTTCTCTCTCTCTCTGGAAAGTGCAAAAAGGAAAAAAAAATACCACCTAAAAGGCCCTCCAGAAATACAACAGACAGCAGAAAAGATGTGTATACCCTCAAGAAATCACCAGAAAAGGGTTATGACCAACGTCAGAGGCTACCTTAGAAAACAGGGTCCAGAAGACCACAAGCCAAGAAAATAGACTATAGTCTCCCAAACAGCACCACAGCCCAGTGTCTCTAAATCCTTTCCATAACAGGACAGAGTGCCAGGTGGGCAAGAACGTGAGCTTCCAAATCAGGCACACCTTGGCTCAGATCCCAGCTTCATAGACACACACGCACGACTAGGTCCTTGAGCTTGACGAGCTGCTTCACTTCTCTGAGCCTCAGTGCCCTCACCCCCAAATGGGAAAACAATACCACCGGCCTTGTAAGGGTGATGGCGACTAAGTAAGTTCATGCAGCACCTGGCAGTGAAGCAAGTGTGCTAAGTGTTCATCCTATCAACACACACAGAAGTGAATGGACACCCTGAGCGTAAGAGTTGTAGACTGGAATTCTCTGATGACACAAGAGGAAAGGCCATTCCTGGTGTACTAATTGCACAACTCAAAATGGGTACTTATTTTCTATCCATGTTATTACACTGTTAGATATCAAGAATTTCAGGGGCCAGCAGGTGGCGTGGTGGTTAAGGGATCTGGACTTCCACATGGCCGACCACGGTTTGAGTCTCGGACCTTAAAGGCTTGCTTTCTCACTCTCTCTCTCTCTCACTCTGTTCCTCTCCGGTCAAATTTAAAAAAATAAAGGGACCAGTAGTTAGTGTAATGACTATATCGCTGGATTCCCATGTAGTCGACCACGGTTCAAGTCCCGGACCCACTGGCTTAAAACTCACGCCAGGCGCATGTGCGTACATGCCCAAGATCCCCAGAGGAGAATGGAGGAGAAGGGAGGGTTGTGGCGTGGCCAACCTCCCTGGGGGGTGATTTCTCGCTTTCTGTCTCTCTGTCTGTCTGGCGAGCACACAAGCCCTATGGCAAAAAATGTCTCCAATAAATAAATAAATAAATATTAAATAAAATAATTTTTAAAAAGGATTTCAAATAATGTAATACTTGTGAGAAAATACTGGATTTTATAAGCTAGCAAGTATCGAAGTTTAATTCTCTGTGGGAGGAAAAGGGGGGTTTACTGAACCATACCACACTACCATTTCAAATGGCCTATCAAACTGTGTGGAGAAATCTAAGTTATCAAGTGCAACATAGAGAACGATGATCAAAATTAAATTCCAGAATCACCCTACATCTCAACTTAGCGTGCAATTTAAAGGCACAATTTAATATGCAATTTAAAGGCAAAAGGATGGCATGTAGTCAGTGTATTCCATAATAAAGAGAAATTAAATACTGGATGCTATAGCCCTATTCTAACAACCATTAATACAAAAGTTAGGGGTACTTATGTAAATTAGAAGTGTTTTTAAATAAAAATATTTTATATGAATAGTTTAATTACTTAGAAAAATTAGAAGGAGCAATTAGTAAAAAAAAAAGAAGAAGGAGGAGGAAAGAAAAAGGGAAAAACTAGAAATGAAAATCAGCCATGTTTTCAAATGAAAAAAGGCAGTGTTTCTTTTTTATAAAATTCAAAGTGGGTGGACAAGGGAAATTATGGCTTTCTCTCATCTTTACTTTCTATATAAAGAAAAATTTATATTCCAGAAACCAAGTACCAAAAAGTTTCATGCACAAGAGAAACTACTTGAGATTGTCTTTGACGGTGGTTTTCTCTTTGATATTCTTACATGTGTTCATTCCTTGCATGTGGAATACTATCTCCAAGGGTGGGAAATAACCCTCTCCACATCCCTGACACCACTCTAGCTTCAGAGGGTTCCCCAAGTCTCTTAGCTTTAAAGAGGCAGCTATAAGATCCTCCTGCAGTCAATCAGTTATCGGGACCTCTTCAGCTGCCTCTCGGGTTCACTAAGCACTCAGGCACAGCCTAGGGGAAGGCTGATGAGCTTCGGCGGTTCAGATTCAGTGTTATTTCTTTGGGGACCTTCAGGTTAAGTCCCTCCTTGCCTGGCATCTCTGGCACCTGTGACCACTGCTCTCTTCCATACTCTCATTCCCACAATGACCGACTCAGGGTTCTGCAGTTGCTCCTGGCTCTCCCAGACCCTTCTGAGTTTTACCCAGCTCCCCGTCTCTGGAACAGCATCTCTCAAAGAAAGCCCTTCCTTGCCTGAACCAGTGTGTCTAGACTAGATGCCTGTGCCAGGTGTTTCCAGAGCAGGGAAGCATACCTACCCCGGGCTTGACGGCTGTGCTGCATTACAGTCAGCCCCAGTGCCTGCACTGCGCCAGGGGTTCCTGAGTGTGGGCCCCTGCACAGCAGCACTGGCCTCACCTCGGAACTCCTGAAACATGCACATTCTAAGGTCCCACCACGGGCCCACTGAATCTCAGAGTTTGAAAGTGGGACTCAGCAGTCTGATTTAACAGCCCTCCAGGTAAAACAGACCCACTACACAACAAGACTTCTTAAGGGCAGGGGCCATGCTGCTTCTTCCCGGCCTGGCACAGTCTGGGGCACACTCTAAAAGCTCCATTTAAATAAACAAAATGCATTTTAAATTGAAAAAAAAAATGCACATGGGAAAGCAGACAACAGGTGTTTCGCTGGGGCCAGACAGCAGCATGGCAATAAAATGCAGTGCTCTGTGAGACTGACCGCAGGCTCCAAGTTCACGTCGGGATATCTCCCTGGGTATACCAGGCACGTGTGTGCCCATGATCTGGGCTGGCTGAGGCTGGGGGTGGAGGGCAGCATTAAGGCCCATTGGAGGTTCTCTGTCCGTCAATGAAGACATAAATTAATAGACTTAACCAAAAAAAAAAAAAAGCAGGGGTTTTATTTTTTCTGGGGGTTTTATACACACAAAAAGTGTGTATAAGAAACAAAAATGAGCTTAAGGAATCTGCAAGGACATCAACTCCTAGACACCCAGCTCAGAGACCATTGCTCTATTTTCTGCTGTTTCAAGTAGTGTCAGACACTGTGAATCCAAATCATGCTTCATGCCAGCCAATATCGGTGCCTTTCTGGGGAGGGGAGCAGCAAGAAGAGCCCTAGAGAAATAGAGGGGCTCTTCCCCAGTCCTGTGGGAATCCTTGAGTTCCTATAGCATTGGGCACATGTCTCTCCCTATGAAGTCAAGAATTCCCAACTTCTTGACCAAGAACCATCATGTCCAAATAGACGTTTGCAATACAGGGCCTTTAGTTTGTTACAAATGTTAAGGTGGTACCTCAAAACACTAGAAGGGGGAAACGTATTTGAACAGTGGGTATTTCTTCTAAAACAAACCAAAATAGAACAAAAACTCAAATGAATCATGCAATTACCATAGCATGAATATTTTTCAGATATAAAGGGCCATAAGAGTCATTTAAGAATATTGTTTACCAGGGGCCGGCAGGTGGCGTGGTGGTTAAGGTACTGGACTCCCAAATGGCCAATTGTGGTTCGAGTCCAGGGCCTGTTGGCTTGCTTTCTCACTTTTGCTCTCTCTCTCAATCTCTCTCTGGTGAGTACACATGCCCTCTAGCAAATAAAATAATAATAATAATAAAAATAAATAAAATTAAATGAATATTTTTTAAAAACTTGTTTACCAAGTTTTGTTCAGCAAGAGAAATTATTTTAAGTTACCCTTCAAAATAGTTATTTTCTTCTGAAATCTTGTTAATCTGCTTCAAATGCTAATCTAATAAGGCTGGTCCCAAAACATCCTGTGTTCATTAAGAAGGGCCAGCTCAAATAGACTCACTCAGAAAGCTAATTTTATCAGATACAAAATACCCAGGTGGCATGGCGATTTCTCTAGATGTTCTGTTCATCACTATGAACAACGAAAACCAACACGATTCGCAAGCTTCCCATACTTCGTAATTTCAGGTATCCGGGACCAAACCCTTCCTTGCTATTATAAAGTTAAGAACAGCAACCTTTGACCAAGTTCAGCCACCTCTGTCTTGAACCAAAACGAGATGATTTTCAACTCCTACTCCACTGATCTAATATTTAAAAAAAAAAAATCTTTCTACCAAAAACATTGAGTGATATCCCCCAAAGTTTTTTTTTGTTTGTTTTGTTTTTTTAAAAAAAACTATAAAAATTTGAATTTAGGTTAGGGAACAAGAAAAGACTACAGAAAATGTTTCTAGAATGGGATTTAGAAACTAGGAAATGTTTTGTGATTTCAGAAATATTCATCAGAAGTAATGAAGTTCACAACTTGATTTGACACACTCAGCACCCTCCAGAAAAGCAGGGGATAGTGTAAACATTCATTAGTTCTAAGGAATCCCCATGAAAAGAAAACCTGCAATATAAATCTTATAAAACATGAAGATGACCTATATTTTAATACAAACTATGATGCAGTCAATGCCAGCATTAATGATAAGCCTCTAAACCAACACTTTCTATTATAGCTTTAAAATCAGTTTTTACCTCTTTCCACATAATGGTATGCCACATACCATTTCTTAGCACTGAAAAAGAAAAAAAAAATTATATTGGTTAACCCTGGTGATAATTAAAATAAAGCCAGATATCTAAAATTCAATAAAACTCATTTAAAATTCCCCTTATTAGTTCTAATGTACCATATTCTTAGACATAAAGGTTTAACCATATCCCCCCCAAAATGGATCCCAATCTGTGCATCTCCGTAACACTTATACAATACTATATGCACATAAATGTTTATGTATATATGCAAATTAAATCTACTCATATTCAGTCAGTCGGAAGAGAAAAAAATGCTTGTTGTTATGCAATTAAAACCCACACAAACGAAGTTCCTGTTTTAGACAATTCAAACAATAAAAAGGAGATAGAGGGAGGGGAAAATAAAAAGCAGACAGAGGGGAGTAGGGAGAGCTAATCCAAGGATATGAAAGCTTGGACATTTTTTTTTCTTCAGTTCTTGCCATAGAATGTACATAGTCCCCAGAGAGAAAGAGAGAGAGAAAGGGTAAGTGAGAAATCACCCCTGGGGGCATGGCCATGCCACAGCCCCTTCTCTTCCATTCTCCTTTAGGAATTTTGGGCATCCATGCACAGGTGCCTGGTGTGATTTTCAAGCCTCCAGGTCCAGAGCTCTAATTGCTCAGCTGGCCATGGGATCTAGTGCCTTCACCACCACACCACCTGCTGGCTCTGAATACTTGGACTTTCTATGGACATAAAACCTGTCTAGTTCCTGGAAAAGAGCAAAGTTTTCTAAAATCTTGAAATACACAAATCCTATTCAGACCTCAGTGAGGACTGACATTTTGTTCAATTTGTCATTTTTACTGTTCTTATAGATCTTTTCCCCAATGTAACTCAATATCATTATTTATTTAAAATTCCTTAAATGGAGATCTTATTCTTGAAAGTTATAGTGGAAAAAATGATGCAGCGTGGTATCTTACCTATTGTTTTCTTTTTGTTAACTGCATTGTCTGCCTTATGTCGCTTCTGTTACAGAAAGTAAAAAAAGTTCTTACATTCAAAAGTTCCACATGAACAGTTACAGTGAAAAACGACAAAACAAGAGCAGGAATAACAGGGGCAAGAAAAAATATCAAACACACTAGTTTTGTAAAACCTGATTAAATGGTCCTGTGATCTATCGTGATTCACTAAGTTTAAATTCAGTCTACTCTAGTTTAAATGATAGTATTTTGGTTCTAATAATTAATAAGCACTTTGAAGTATATACTCTGTCATTTTTTTTTTAATTTTGGATCAGACTAAAAGAATTATTCAGTATGAGAAACCCAACAACAAACAGCTGACTCCATTTTACTGATAAAGCACCTTTGTTTTGTATTACATGTATTTATTTATCCATTCCCAGAAAGATCTACAATGAACTCAGAGATACACTGAGACCAGAGTAAGGAGAGAAGATTATTATACAGGAAGCAAAAGACAGCTACCCTAGACAGTACTACAATGCTTCCTTTGCTATTGAAATGAACTATCAGGTTGATGCAAAACTATTATTTTGCATTGTTGAAATTTGCCATTTGATATGAGATACATCCTTAATAAATGTGATTATATATCATTTTAATGAGCATTTCTCCCTTTATGGTTTGGTTTTGTTTTTGCCAATGCCTTATTACTTGCTGTTTATTTCACATGTATTTTAGACTATGGAAATGATGTTAGACAAAAAGAAAGCTTGAACAATTTTCTTATTCAAGTACAAAATGGGTCGCAAAGCAGCAGAGACAGCTCGCAACATCGACAACACACTGGCCCAGGAACTGCTAACAAGCGTACGGTGCAGCGGGGGTTCAAGAAATTCTGTAAAAGAGACAAGAGCCTTGAAGATGAGGAGCACAGTGGCTGGTCATCGGAAGCTGACAGCGACCAAATGAGAGCAATTATTGAAGCTGATCCTCTTACAACTACACAGGAAGTGGCCAAAGACCTCAGCATCAACCCTTCTATGGTAGCCCAGCATTTGAAGTAAATTGGAAAGGTAAAAAGGGTTGATAAGTGGGTGCTCACGAGCTGACCAAAAATCAAAGAGATCAGAGGTTTTACGTGTCGTCTTCTCTTATTCTATATAACAATTAAATTTTTCAACTGGATTGTGATGTGCAACAAAAAGTGGACTTTATGACAACCAGTGATGACCAGCTCAGTGGTTGGACCGAGAAGCTCTAAAGCACTTCTCAAAGCCAAACTTACACCACATAAAGGTCATGGCCACTGGTCTGGTGGAGTGTGACCCACTACAGCTTTCTGAATCTCAGAGGGCAACCTCTACATCTGAGAAGTATGCTCAACAAATCAACTGAGGGAGATCCAGAGACCGAACGTTTGAGAACAAAGTTTGAAAACAAAGTTTGAACTACTTCAGTCTCATTGTATGTAGGTATTTAAGACACTCTGAGTACATGTTCCCTGGCCCAAAATAACATCAAAAATTTAGAGAGGCGGATTAAGCTATAGCCCTACTTCCTGTGTTAAACATATCATCCAGAGCCACACACACACTATGAATTACATTCCAATGTCTTTAGTATTCAAAAGCAAGCACTTACAAAATCTTCTACGATCTCTTTGATGCCTGCAATTGTTAGAATAATGATCAATGGCACCAGGGTGGTATATCTTCCTGTTGGAGATACGTCTGGAATTTGCTGTAAAAGACCACAGGAGACAAGCTGCAAATTAAAATCCCCTCCATGAAAAAGAAAATAAGGTATTCAACGCTCCCTCTGTTGCAGTTCAGTTCCATGCTTTTTACATAAAAACGATTATCTTATTTTAAAAACTAGCTACGGATCCAGCCAAGGGGTGCAAGCAAGCAGTTGTCACTGTGGGATGGCTGTGGCTGCATGAGAGGCCAGAGCTGGGTTCTGGCCCAACCTAAACAAGCCAGTCATGGTGGTGTGCTAACTAAGTAGGAGATGGTGCAGGAAGATCACAACAGGAGACTCTGGAAAAAAATTCCTATGTCCCCTCCCCCCACTTTTTCTTTGTCTCATGTCTCTCTCTCTCTCTCATTAAAACAAAAACAAAAACCCTAGCTATGTATTTCAGCTATTTAAAATTTTTGTGCAACATTGACCATGTGTTTGGACAGAAAAAGGGATAAAAGTTTGACCCTAGGACCATTTTCAATGTTTTTTTTCTTTTTCTTTTCTTTTTTTTTTGTTTTTTGTTATAAGGCAAGTGAGCTCACCACAGAGAGGCAGAGAGAGACAGTGAGAAATCATCCTCCAGAGGAGGTGGCCATGGCCAATCCCTTTTCCCCCATTCTCTCTGGGATTTGGAGCACGCATGCACAGGTGCTGGTGTGATTTTTTTCAAGCCACCAGGTCTAGGACTCCAACTATGGTCAGTCATGTGGAAGTCCTTAACCACTACGCTACCTCAGTGGCGCTTTTAACAACTGCAGTTATCCTAAAGGCAATATCAAGCCTCCTATTATACAAAGTCAAGTTTGTTCACCCTGTCAAGATTAGATGAGGCAATCAAACCACATTCAAACACTGACACGCTTTCAGTTCAGTAACCTTTCAGCAAAATCTCATTTTGCATGTAATCAAGGATGCAAATTCTGAACAACTTTTTAAAACACATTACCTGTAATAAGGCAATGAAGAGGAAGAAGGCATTAGCAGCTCTTCTAATCTGCTCATACAAGAATCGAGGTAGAAAAGTCAACACGCTGTACTTGGCCGTACTGTAAATGCAAAAGAAAAACCCAACCCTTAGTTATAGGTAGAAATTCTTTAGAAAACAAGAACAAAACAAAAAGGTTGAAACCTTTTACAAATGGTTTGAAAAACATTATGTTCAAAACTCAGGACAAGAAAACTGCTGTACCAACTTTCTCAGAACACAGAGCTTTCTTTATTTTGCCAAGGGGCTCACCTGATAAGAAAACCTTCTAATGTGAGCATTGTTTTCCAACATTGATATACACGTGTTTGGTTTTCACACTATAAATATAGGCAGGGAGATGTACCCACCTCCAGGAGCTCTGTGCTACGAACAGCAGACGTGTGATTAACGGCTCCATGTGTCCCTCCGGACATGGACCACAGATGTCTCATGCTTCAGTCACACCCACGTGAATTCCATTCCTCCCCTACGCACTTTGCTTGGCCACCTCTGCTCACTTTGCTTCCACCTGGGCCGTCCTCTCCCTCCCACCCTGTCTCTTCATAACGGAACTGTCCTTCCCATCTTACCAACTCCAAACCTATGTATTCTATTAAGATCGGGCCAACCCATAATAACTCTTCTTTCTCCAAGCCCACAGCATTTACACCTCTAGTACACAGTCTCTGCTTTGCTCTGATTTGATCTATTCCTCTAACTCCAGAAAAGTTTATGGGAATGGCGAGACTATTTGCCTCAACTCTGTATGTCCCTAGCACAGAGCACATAGTCAATGAACAACAAAATAACCTGAAGGCATAAACGGAGAACCGCAGGGATAAAATGAACCAGACCTCCGTTGGCTGCCCACAGGTTTAACTGGGTTCACACTAAGACAGTTTCTACATGATTCTTAGCTCACTCCCGGCAGGCATAACTGTGTCTATTCTTTCTTTTCTTTTCCCTTTCTTTCTTTTTCCCTTTCTTTCTTTCCTTCTTTCTTTCTTCCTTTCTTTCTTTTTCTTCCTTTCTCTCTTTCTCTTTCTTTCTCTCTTTCTCTTTCTTTCTCCCTCCCTCCCTCTCTCTCTCTCTTTTTCTTTCTTTCTCTTTTCCTTCCTTCTTTCCTTCCTTCCTCCTTTCTTTCCTTCCTTCCTTCTTTTCTTTTTCTTTCTTCCTTATAAACAAGAGGAAGAAAGGAAAATGGAGAGGAACTACCCTTAACAGGGTCTTTTTTTTTTCCTTTTTTTGGAGAGGTTTTTGCTCCAGGGCGTGTGTGCTCAACAGAAAGACAGAGAGAGAGAGACAGAAAGCAAGAAATCACCTCCCAGAGGGGATGGCCACGCCGCAATCCCTTCTCCTCCATTCTCCTCTCGGGATCTTGGGCACACACACACACACACACCCGCGCGCGCGCGCGCGCGCGTGCCCGGCATGAGTTTAAGCCAATGGGTCCGGGACTCTAATCATGGTGGGCTACATGAGAGTCCAGCGACATAGCCATTACGCTAACTGCTGGTCCCCCTCAACAGGATCTTGATGCCACAGTCCACCCCCAGCATCAGCCAGCCGCAGACCACAGGCATACGCATGCCCAGCAAACTCAAGGGGGTCTGCAGACAGGAACCTAGAGCCTTCTCATGTATTGTAGATCGGCCTCGCAGAGTGTCACGTTTTACTGCAGCGCCACCGTCCGTCTCCATCTGGGCCTATTCTTAACTGAAATATACTCTAGCAAGATTATCTAGCAGGTTTCATAGACGCATTCAAAGCACCAAAATAGAAGGGCAAAGAGCCCAGGAGGCAGAAAACACCAGAGGCATGTGCTCTCTATGAGACCTGACAGCAAACTCTCCGGGGATGACAAGATAAACCCAAACCTGACAGCTCAAAAAGTACGGCAGCCTGAGGTCACTGGCTGGAGCGAGAAATGGCCTCACGTAGCATCTACTGCCCCGGCCTCAGAGAATATCATCCCCAGGGCACAGCAGCCTGGTGTTTCACAACACTCACAGTCGTCCTTAGAGACACGGTCGTGCTTCGCCTTCTTTAGCTTAAGGAGCTAGAGACGGATATGGCAGTTCATACAAAAGCCATGTTTAAAACCACTCCAACTTAAAGAATCTGGCATTTGAAGAGATATTACTGAATTCGTTGGAAAAATGTGCTCACATGGAGCCCCTCCCTATTTATGGAGCTCTACGGGGTAAAAGGATGTCACTGTAAAATTTGCATACAGAATAAACTTGCTGACATTAAGTTCATTGAAGAACAGAGAAAATACATCAAATTCTAGATGTAGGTACTTCAAGACTTCATGAGAAAATAGAATTAAAGTATGAGTTTATTTTATTGCAAAAAAAATTTAAACGATGCATCATTATTTTTTTTTATAATACGCATTTTCTGTTAACTTTTTGAAGCCCCCACCCCCACCACCATACAGGGGAGCTCACGGTACAAGTTTGCTTAAATGTAGCTCGGAGCACAAAGAGAAATGGAACATCACGTATTTCTTCGTGGCAGTACTGACCACTGAAGTTAAGCAGCCAGCATTGATCAGTAAAGGAGACATAAACATTTACACACTAAGATAAGACCGTGCAAAATATCTTGCAAATAGACTGATGATGACATTGAACCTATTTGATTCCGTCCATAGGAAATGCACACCCACCCACAGGTGGCACATGACCTATCTACGTGTGAACGTTTCCCACTTGAGCAAAACTCTGCGTGTGCTTAAGGGCCCACATGTCGCTACGCATCACGAGGGGAACAGGAGTGGAAAAGGATTCTTGGTACAGGGAAACAAAGATGGAGGGCAGCGGGGAGGAGGGAAATGAACACTAACTTTTACTTGATTAAAACTAGAAAAATGAGCCTAAGTGTCTTCATCCTAAAATAGAATCAGCATGATCTATAAATCAGAGAAACTAACGTCTCTCTTAGAGATCTACTGTGTGCCATTAAAGTAAGACAGTAAGGGCCAGCCAGTGGCAGAGCTGCCAGATCCTACAGGGTCAACCACACAGTGTGAGTCGCAGACCCTGATGGCCTGAGAAACATACTAGGCACACATGCATGTGTACCCAAAATCCCAAGAGGAGAAAGGAGAAGAGGGACGGTGGCATGGTCATCCACCTTGGTGGGGCAGTGCTGTCTCACTTTCCTTCTCTATCCAGCAAGCACGCACGCCCTGAAGCCAACTGAAAAGTAAATATTGGGTTGTCGGAAAAGTCATGACACAGTTTTCTATGTTTTTATATGAAAAAAAAAATGCATCATGACTTCTCTGATGACCCAATAAATAAATAAAAATTTTAAAAATCATAATAGTTACAGTAATGTGCAACTTGATCTGTCCTGTTACAGAATTAAATGTGGAAACTACAACCATGTCAAGGCATCACCCATCAAAATCGGTCTGCAGGAATAGTTCAAGATGGGGCTGCTCACATTTAAAAGTACATACAAGTCTCCTGGGGAGTTTATTAGCAGGCAGGCCCTGGGGCCGGCAGGTGGCACAGCTATACTGCAATGTTCTGTGGTTGATTCTGACCCATATGGGAACGTCCTAAGTTTGCATCCCAAGTTCTCCGTATGCACATCTGGCATGAGCAAACATGCCAGTGATCCAGGCTGGGTGGGACTGGGGATGGATTGTGGCAAGAAGACCCTGTTGGAGATGTCTATCTCCCTGTCTGGGTCTCTCTCTCTGTGTCATAGAAGAAAAAAATAATTAAACTGTAAAAAACTACAGAGGCTGGACAGTGGCACAGAGCTAAATGTGATCCCCTGTGAGTTGATCCACATGATGAAATTGCAGGTTCAAGACCAGAGACCTCCTTGAGTATATCAGGTATCTGTGTGTCCCTGATGTGGGGTTGCTAAAGCGGGGGGGTGGATTGCAGCATTAAGACACTGTTTGGGGTGCTGTCTCTGTTTCTTTCTGTTTCTGTTTGTCTTATTCATTAAATAAATAAGTAAACTCTTTTAAAAATGTAGATTCTGGGGATGAACAGATAGTGTAATGGCTACATCACTGGACTCCCACATAGCCAAATGCGGTTCATGTCCCAGGCCCAGCAGTTTAAAACTCACGCCAGGCGTGTGTGCATGCATACCCAAACTCCTGAGAGGAACATGGAGGAGAAGGGATTGTGGAGTGGCCATCCCCCCAGGAAGCGATTGCTCCCATTTTGTTCTTCTGTCTCTCTGTCCCTCTGACGAGCGCATGTACCCTATAACAAAAATCCCTCTTAAAAAAAAAATGCAGATTCTGATTCAGTAGCTCTGGGATGGGCCAGAGAGAGCATAGTTAACAAGCTCCTGGGTGGGGCTGGTTCTCCGGGTCCAAGATCACACTTTGAGTGTGAGAGTTTCGAGTGGCTCCTAGGGAGGTCAATTTGTACAGATTTCTGACCTGAATTCAATCCAGCAATTAAATCTTATGCTATAAGATCTTATACTCTAAGGTGTGCAAGAAATGGAGATGTTTTACCATTCACTGTACCGGGGAAAGAACACCCCTAGGGTGAGATGGGCAAAGGAGCTCCCCAGTAGAAGAGTTTGTTCACTCGGGGAGTAGGTCACCCCTGAAAGATTCCCACCCATGCAGATGTCAGAACTACTGCCCCCAGGCTGCCAACTGCAAAGGAGAACAGCTACTGCAGGTGAGTCCAAGGCATTCAGCAAGTCTCAAACCCTGGAACCTGGAAGAAATGACTCTGAGAAGTCAGAAACATTCTGGGGGTCCTTCGGTATCCCCCTAAACATCTGTTAGCCTAGTATTTTCTGAAACTGATTGACTGGCGGAATGGCAGGACTTGTCACAATTCATCCATCCAGCCTCCCACAGACATTTACTGAGCACCAACTCAGTAAATGTCTCAACTCTGGGCCGGGCTCTGGGGACACTGAGGGGAATCAAGATGTCAAAGATGCATTCCCTTGAGGAGATTTCATGCTGGAGAGGAAATTAGATTACGAATACACAAACAGAGCACATGATAGGTTAGAGGGTGGAAAAACAATTAAGGAAAGAAAATACAAAAAGTTTTGCTGGCTGAGGCTGGAAGG